AGTTATCAAGTAACGTTTGAATTTAACGTTGAAACTAATAAATTTCACGTTTCACGCAAACACTATATTTTGCACCTACGTTTGCAATAATAGTGAAAGCGATAGTCGGCAACAGAAAGATTTCGAGCGAGAATAACACTCTCGTCCTTTTGAAGGGATTTGAATTTTTTTTGAAGGGTTTGAATCAGATATACCTGAATCTTTATGTGTTTTCCTGGATGATGTAATCTTAAAAAATAAAAGTTCTTGAAGGAAAAAGCATTGCTTTCGCCCATTCCATAATGACCGCATCAAGGCCAAAATCTTCCGCATCGTCATTACAGGTCGGAATAGCCGTATTTTTGTTTCAAAAGTATGGATCTCGGCGATTAATAGATATACTATCATCTCTTCGATTTTGCTCTTCGTATACAGAAGCAATGTAATTTGAAGCATCAGCAATAGTGCGCTCGCCGTTGGATATCGATAATAATGCATTTTCCCAATTTCTTTTTGACAACGCTGATAACACCTAGAGATGCTATTGCTTCAGATCAAAATATTCAACGGTTAAATAAAATTCCATCTCCTAAAGTTGGAGGTAGTTTTGGAAATATTGCATTGAAAATATTTGAGAAGAGAAATAATACTGGTTTGAAAACAATAAAAATTCAGAACCTCGATTGCATTCATGCAGTTTCGGAAACAAACATACCGTCCAATTCGGATTTATTGTGGTTATATGGAAAATGGGCTGGCTTGCCTAACATACCAAGCTGGTGTGAATTCATGGAACAAGCAACAGCAAAACCCCCATTTCAAAAATCATTTGTCGCATGCTTGCCTTTTATTAATGCTTTGTCAAGTGATTATAATACAATATTGACTGCTCTCTTATCTGCTTCGAAAAAACGTGAGTCATTACAGCAGCATTCTTGCATTATAACGTTTGACCAGCCCCTGTAATTCAAAGCGCGAGATATCGTTTCCCCGTATGATGAGGACTCCAAATTAAGTAATATTGTTTTAAGAGTCGGTGGATCCATTTATTAATGTCATTCGGATATAATGAGATCGATCGGATACATAATGAATGGAAGCATAATGAATCGGAACATAATGAAAGATGATGTAAACTTAAAAAATAAACCATTTACGCGTTGAATTCAATGGAAAAAAATGACAGGACAAGCTTATTCGCGGGCGGTAAGATATAAATATAAATATAAATATAAATATAAATATAAGTATAATATATTTATATTGACTCATCTTACAATTCCTAAATTTGTGCTAAATCAATAGATTTGACACCCGATCTCAGTGTGGAATTAGAAAGAGTTTGGTAATCGTGGCAAACCAAGAAGAATGCTACAAAGAACTCGCTGAAAAATTTGAGAATCAATTAGCTAAATTTGAAAAACGTGGTGCTAGTGCGAAATTATGGGTACAATATTTTAGAATGGTTACTCTCGTAAATCACTTTATTGAGGCGGAAAGGATGGGAAATTGTAAATTACATCTTGATACTGTACAAAAACTGATGCCTTGTTTTCATGCCAGTGGCCATTTCTTATATTCAAAATCCTGTCACCTATATTTGCAAGATATGATAAATTTGAACGAAGGAATAACAGCTAAGGAATACGAACTTTTCACTACTAAAGGATTCTTTACAATTAGGCGCTCTGATAAATTTTGGTGTGGTACTTGGTCAGATATGACGATTGAGCAATCGTTGATGAAGACGATGACATGCCTTGGTGGCCTTACTTATGGACGAGAAGTAAAGGAAAGTGGGCTCCCCAAGTGGACTTTAGGAATAGTTTTTCTGTACAATGTTTTCGAAGAAGTTGAGAAGTTTTGCAATAAAGCTTTTTCCAGTTCGGAGCAGGATGTTGAAATGAGAAACTCGCGGATTAAACGTGACAATGACGACGTAAACAAATTGACGGACTGGTTGTACCAACATTCACCTTTTACAGACGTATTCTAGACGTCATGTCAATAAGCACTAGAATGATAGGAGATGAAGAAATAAACTGTCATATGTCTCATGAAATTGGTACTGCTAGCATTTTTAAGATTATTGGCGCCGATTTCAATACAGTAAAATTCAAAATAAATGACAGAGTAAAAGCACTGCTAGCATTTTAAAGATCATTGGCGCCGATTTCAATACAGTAAAATTCAAAAGAAATGACAGAGTAAAAGCACTTGCTGTAATTAATGCAGGTATTCGGATGAAAGATGTCATTGTCCCGATTAATCCACTATTAATTTTCCAAAGTATGTACATTGCAAAAACATCTGAAAGAAAACTTGAACAATTTCTATCATACAAACATGCACCTTTTCCTTTTTCTCTCTTCAATGAGGAAGGTATGCGCAAATGCGCTAAATCTTCTATGTATAAGGCATAAAGTTTCTGAAGACATAAATTATGGAGACACGATATATGTCATCGATGGTGGATACCTATTGCTCCGAGTTATTTGGTATCGCGGTGATTCGTTTTCATCCATCTGCAATAACTTTTAATAACGTTTGATCAAATTACACATCCATTGCCTTTCTTGTATTTGACGAAAATACGGAAGATGTAACACATCGTAGTACCAAATATGCAAAGCGATTCCGGCGATCAACAAAAACTGCTTCAGTAGACATAATTTTTGATGAAACAATGATCCCAGCTGTGCCACAAAATAAATTTCTGGCCAACGATTTAAGCAAGAAACGTCTCATTGAAATGTTAAAATTAAAATTTGAAGCTGCAAACCTTATGATCAAACAAGCCACCGAAGATGCGGATACGGTAATAATTAATACTGCAATTAACATTTCCACTATGTTTGATTCTGTAATAGTTCTTGGCGAAGATGTTGATCTTCTTATCCTGTTGACGGCTCTATCAACGCGTTCAAATATATATTTACTAAAACCGGGAAGAGGAAAAATTTTGCAACAATTATATTCTACAAGTAGCCTAATAGATAAAACAGCCGCAGATCATATATTGTTTTTGCATGCCTTCAGTGGCTGCGATACAACTTCAGCAATTTTTAATCAAGGTAAAATAAAATATATAAATACACTATGTAAAAATCCAAAAGCTAATCCAGAGATCATTGCCACAGCTGCAAAACGCTTCCTTCTTCAATTGTGCGGTTGTAGTGATGAGAAAATAAAAAATAAATCGTTAAACGTCTTTAGATATGCGTGCTTTACAAAATCGGCATACAAAATTAAATCACTACCACTAACGCAGGCAGCAGCACGACAACATTCATTCCGAACATATCACCAAATTTAGCAGTGGTATGGGAATGAGGTAAATGCGGAACAATGGGAATAATATATAACAGTATATATTTGGCAGATGAAATTATATAATTCAGTGTATTAAATAACTCAATCCAATGTCTACATCTTTATTGTCGAAAAGCAGCTAAGATGTGCCAGAAATTAAAATAATATAAGATAATATATAACAGTATATAATGGCAGATGAAATTATATAAATTAGTTTAATAAATAACGCAATCCAATGACTACATCTTTATTGTCGAAAAGCAGCTGAGATGTGCCAGAAATTAAAATAATATAAGATAATATATAACAGTATATATTTGGCAGATGAAATTATATAATTCAATTTAATAAATAACCCAATCCAATAAGTTCAAAATTGCATATACATCATTTTTTTAAGCTTATGCATGTCGTATTTTGGTTAACTTTACTAAATTATTTAACAATACAAAAAAATGTTTCTTTTTTTATTTGTTATATCTATTATATTTTCTATATATATATATATATATATATATATATATATATATATATATATATCTAAGTTTCTGAATTGGGGATATATTTGATTGTGATTATAAACAAAAATATCTATCTTATGCAATTTTATTTGTGTAAAATTTAAGTAAAACATACAGCTTTGATCAAACTGTGACCATTTTTTGGGTGTTGTGGTTTATCTTTATTGCTTTTGTTCATTTAGAACTTTAGATCTGTAACCAGAAATAACATCTCTGGTCAAAAATAATGACACAATTAAGATGGTTACATCAATTCTGCCATTGAGCAACTTGTGCAACTGGCTGTTGGGTCCGAAGTCCAAACTATCCACCTACAACAAGCTTCTAGTATACAAAGTCGTCTTAAAACCAATCTGGACTTACGGCATTTCACTCTGGGGTAGTGCCAGTCGATCTAATATAAACATTCTACAGAGAGCTCAAAACAAGATCCTTAAAAAAATACTGGAGGCTCCCAGGTATGTACCTAATTGGCTCGTTCATCAGGACTGCAACATACAAACAATAGCGGAAGAAATTAGCAGATTTGCTGCGAAATATAAGTCAAGATTGGAGAACCATCCAAATGAACTAGCAAAGGACCTACTTTCTGTGAACACTGTCAAGAAACTAAGAAGATTAGATCCACTAGACTTAGCATAGTTATATATTTAGTATAGTGCTTGTAATTATTCTCACATATTTGTATTTATTATCTGCTTGCAATTATTGTCACATATTTATATTAATTATACTAACTTAAAATACTACCAATGGGTAGTATTTTAAAAACTTATTTAATAACTAATCACAACAATTACTGAATGCCTTCTCAGGCAGTTGTAATTTAGATGGAAATAATAATAAAAAAAAAAAAAAAGTCCGGGTCTATTGTGTACCGTCGGCTTTATACCCGGCCTCCCTTTTATTCATATATCCGTTTATACAAAGTTTGTTTAGGAGAAGAGACCCAAAACAATAACGAATCTTTGAATTCTTTGATTTGGACTTTCGCTCCTAAACATCTTCATTCTGGTCCCAAAATTGTTGAAATTGCTTACTTAGCAGTTATTATCTTTAATGAAGGTTTTCAAGGTATTTTGAAAGTTATGTCGATTATGGGATGCCCTGTTGATCGTGAATCCCAAGCGTATGTTGAGAAACGGGATGAAAAGCGAATCTTTCGTTCTGAGCGGCGCGGAAGTGATGTCGTTAAACAAGCCAGGATTGACTCAAGAGCTTCAAAAGAGTTTCACGAGGAAGAGAAAGGAATGCTCTATGGACCAGGCATCGCCGATTGAGAGTAAGTTGATATTTTAATAGTTTTTAACGGACTTGAAACTTTAAACGCTTTTTTCTCAAAACTGTGTTTTTCAAACTTTCCTCCATTGTATCTCAGAAACGGCTAGACCGAATTACTTGAAATTTACAGGGCACACTCAATATATTTAAACGCATGGAATGAACTATTATCAATCGAAAATTTTCAAAACTTCGATTTTTTATAGCAAAAAACAACAAAAACGCCTAATTTGTAACTTTTATTTCAAATGTCTATCAAAAATCCAATTTTTTTATATTCATTTGTTTATAGGTCATTCCGTGCTTTTAAGCCTACAAATTAAAACGCAGTTTATTTTTTTTTCAGATAAGCCGATCAGCCGGAATCGTGGAGAAAGTGGGAGCTCTTTTTTTCGAGGCTGGGGTGTTCAGAGCGCTGTAACTCTAGTTTGACTGAATATTTTTAGCTGAAATTTTATATTTATACTGTCCAAATGTGTTAATAAATGATAAAAAACTTGAAGCTCTAAATATTTACTGATCGTAGAAAAAAAATCCTAAAATATCCCTAAAAAACAGGCCGTCACATAGGAAGACCCCCTTAACTCTAAATTCTAACTGTTGGCCAAACAAATTAATAGAAAATACTGAAACTATACCAGATATTAGAGTTTTTACTATTTCTAACAAAAATAATTTTAGTTTACGCGTTTTTCCAATTTTGCCAATCTAGTTAGAGAAGTTGCCTTTATTTTAAGATGGTTGTCAAATTACAAGTCCAATAGAGAATATTTAAAATATTTAACTATGAATAAAATTCATAATTCTTCAAAATATATTATTTTACGCGTACAACAAGAGAGCTTCGGAAGTATTATCGATGGTTTTGCAAATAATAACATTGCTATAACTGATCAGAACTTATATTCTAAACCATTGAAATCTTTTATTGATGGTAAAGGATTGCTGAGAGTTGGAGGAAGACTCGAGTATGCTAACAAATCGTATGAACAGAAGCATCATATAATACTTCTCAAGTCTCATTATGTTACAGAATTATTTTTACGCGGAGAACACGAAAGGCTTCTGCACGCCTGCACTCAAACCACACTTTCAGTTGTGAGAAAAAAATATTGGCCGATTGATGGGCGCAATACAATTAAAAAACTAACGTGCGTTAGATTTAAGGCGGCGGCTGCAGAACAACTTATGGGCAGTTTACCAGTCGATCGTGTTAATGTGAAACGTCCGTTTTTAGCTATAGGGGTAGATTATGCAGGTCCAGTTATGCTGCGAGCAAGTCGGCAACGTAAGACTCCTCAAATTAAAGCGTACATTGTCTTATTTGTGTGCATGTCCACAAAGACAGTTCGCGGTAGGTGTTCGATCATTCATAGCGATAATAGCAAAAATTTTGTAGGTGCTAATAAGGAATTAGCTGAGTTATTTAAATTTTTTAAAGCAGATGAAAATAAGCGACGTTTAATTTCGGCCGTTACACAGTTAGGTATTACTTGGCAGTTTACACCTATGTATGCTCCACACTTTGGCGGTTTATGGGAGGGGTAGATGAAAATAATGAAATCACATTTGCGTAGAGCGATTGGGTCGCATTGTTCAACTTACGAGGAATATGTTACACAGGTCGAGGCAGTACTGAATTCACGTCCTTTATTAAGTATGTCCGATGACAGCACAAATGCGTCATATTTATCACCCAGTCATTTTTTAATAGGTGATATAATGAACCAGAACCATACAATACAAAATTCAATACAAATAAATTAAAAAATTCTAAACAGATTACAACAATGAGTGATCAATTTTAGAAAACATGGTCAAATCAATATTTAAATCAATTACAGACCCGACATAAATAGTCAAACAGTTGTTCAAATTTAAAAACTGATAGTGTAGTATTAAATAAGGAAGACAACGCACCACCATTGCACTGGCAACTTGCTAAAATTGTAGACATAAAAGTCCAATCACTAAAATTGTAACTCTTCCGATAGAATAAATATATGAAATTCCATATCTTCATAAGTTAAATTTAAATAATGTATTTTTTTAGAATGTTAGAACAGATCTTACTCCATTATGATATATAACTTAAAATGAATTATTATTGATTACTATTATTATTTTTATACAGTCCACTTTTCGAAAATATGTGTATCAAATTGAGATTACGATTATATTATTGATTTATGTATTTTAGGTTAAGTTACAATTTTTATAAATGTTAATGTTAATAATGTAAAATTTCGGATGCTTTGCATCGCCCGGGAATATGGACAAATGTATATGTCTATTCAAATTTCGCGCGGGCCTCATCTTTGGAATACAGAGTAAAGTATGCTATGCTACTATGCGATTAGTTTTTGTTGTGTTACTATGTACGATTTGTTCCATGTTGTATTTCAAGCAGACCCATCCAGCTAATAAATCATTTTATATTTTAAATTGTGTTTTGGTTAATGCTATTATTTATTTTCTTTATTACCAATTATTATCTAAAATGGATTGCAATAAAATTTACACTATTGTACAATTTGTGGATGAACGAGAAAAAAATATGGTAGACCTTGTACCAGCGTCGTGGTTATTTCACGAAGAAAGTCAAGATTTTACATATTTTCCTAAACCATTCGAATACAAGAAAATGCGTAAATGGCTCGAGAATTTAAAAAGACCATCCAAAAATTGGAAACACTATCCAATTATCATTGTGGGTTACGCAAGTAAGTATTTAATTATTTTTTTAAATATTTGTTTTTATTGTGACTACTACTTTTATTGTGATGTATAGTAATTTAAATATATTTCTAAAAGATGATCTAAAACAAGGATGCTGTCGAGTACGCAAATATTGTTCAACTCTGAGAGTAGAGTGTGCCGATGACGAAATTAGTGTTTCCAACAATGTAGTTGAAAAATTTGATGAGAGCTATATTCAAAAACTATAATCGAGTATTATTATTTAATAAATTTGTAAATACATATACATATAATTATATTACATTACATATATATTCCGAATACTACGAATTCGTCGGATATAACTGATAATACAGGTAAATTAAAAATATTGCTTAACAATTCTATTCATATTGCTGTAAATTCACATATTTGTAGATAAATTAGAAAAATATATAGCTGAAAAGTTGGACCAAGTCTAATTCTAAATAAGAAATATGACACGACTAGAAAAGAGCTCGATGAACCACAAATTTTGTTGAATGATAGGATACCAATAAAATCATATGAAGAATTTCTAGCATTTGAAAATATTATCAAAGAGCACATGTATAAAATAACTTTGGTAACTTATATTTTTTTCATTTCAATATTTAACTAGTTTGTAACAAAATTAAATTATAATTTGCATTTAAGGTATCAATGTTCAAAAGCAAGATTGAGAATGAAATCAATTTAATGGCAGCTATCAAAATTAATATGACCACTGTAGTCACAAAAGACGTGGAAATTTTATTTTCAGAGACCGGAAGAATGCTAAACGGTACTTGCAAAAATGTTTGGTTAAACAAATATATATGCAGGTTTGCATGGTAAGAAAATTGTGAATACAATAATTAAATAGATATAATCTTACAATGTTATAGGTGCTGTATCAGAACATTTTTCAAATAATAAGGATTTAAAGTATTTACCTGAAAAAGTCGGGCAATGGTTGTCGAGCGTCAGCGACCGCGGAGGTGGCCGAACACAGCCCTTGAAAGTAGCTCGCAAAAAAAAAGTGATTTTACATTTACAGATTTGCAAACATAAAAAAATGTAAAAATAAAAATGTATAAAGTTAAATGGATAATACATAAATAAATAAATATGTATAAATATTTTGATACAATTCATTTTGAAAATATTCTAATCGATTCGCAGCATACTTTTATATTATGAATATCAATATTTTATATTGAATTTAATATTTTTTATTACTTCTTGTTCTCGTACATATTTAGTTATCAAGTAACGTTTGAATTTAACGTTGAAACTAATAAATTTCACGTTTCACGCAAACACTATATTTTTGCACCTACGTTTGCAATAATAGTGAAAGCGATAGTCGGCAACAGAAAGATTTCGAGCGAGAATAACACTCTCGTCCTTTTGAAGGGATTTGAATTTTTTTTGAAGGGTTTGAATCAGATATACCTGAATCTTTATGTGTTTTCCTGGATGATGTAATCTTAAAAAATAAAAGTTCTTGAAGGAAAAAGCATTGCTTTCGCCCATTCCATAATGACCGCATCAAGGCCAAAATCTTCCGCATCGTCATTACAGGTCGGAATAGCCGTATTTTTGTTTCAAAAGTATGGATCTCGGCGATTAATAGATATACTATCATCTCTTCGATTTTGCTCTTCGTATACAGAAGCAATGTAATTTGAAGCATCAGCAATAGTGCGCTCGCCGTTGGATATCGATAATAATGCATTTTCCCAATTTCTTTTTGACAACGCTGATAACACCTAGAGATGCTATTGCTTCAGATCAAAATATTCAACGGTTAAATAAAATTCCATCTCCTAAAGTTGGAGGTAGTTTTGGAAATATTGCATTGAAAATATTTGAGAAGAGAAATAATACTGGTTTGAAAACAATAAAAATTCAGAACCTCGATTGCATTCATGCAGTTTCGGAAACAAACATACCGTCCAATTCGGATTTATTGTGGTTATATGGAAAATGGGCTGGCTTGCCTAACATACCAAGCTGGTGTGAATTCATGGAACAAGCAACAGCAAAACCCCCATTTCAAAAATCATTTGTCGCATGCTTGCCTTTTATTAATGCTCCGTCAAGTGATTATAATACAATATTGACTGCTCTCTTATCTGCTTCGAAAAAACGTGAGTCATTACAGCAGCATTCTTGCATTATAACGTTTGACCAGCCCCTGTAATTCAAAGCGCGAGATATCGTTTCCCCGTATGATGAGGACTCCAAATTAAGTAATATTGTTTTAAGAGTCGGTGGATCCATTTATTAATGTCATTCGGATATAATGAGATCGATCGGATACATAATGAATGGAAGCATAATGAATCGGAACATAATGAAAGATGATGTAAACTTAAAAAATAAACCATTTACGCGTTGAATTCAATGGAAAAAAATGACAGGACAAGCTTATTCGCGGGCGGTAAGATATAAATATAAATATAAATATAAATATAAATATAAGTATAATATATTTATATTGACTCATCTTACAATTCCTAAATTTGTGCTAAATCAATAGATTTGACACCCGATCTCAGTGTGGAATTAGAAAGAGTTTGGTAATCGTGGCAAACCAAGAAGAATGCTACAAAGAACTCGCTGAAAAATTTGAGAATCAATTAGCTAAATTTGAAAAACGTGGTGCTAGTGCGAAATTATGGGTACAATATTTTAGAATGGTTACTCTCGTAAATCACTTTATTGAGGCGGAAAGGATGGGAAATTGTAAATTACATCTTGATACTGTACAAAAACTGATGCCTTGTTTTCATGCCAGTGGCCATTTCTTATATTCAAAATCCTGTCACCTATATTTGCAAGATATGATAAATTTGAACGAAGGAATAACAGCTAAGGAATACGAACTTTTCACTACTAAAGGATACTTTACAATTAGGCGCTCTGATAAATTTTGGTGTGGTACTTGGTCAGATATGACGATTGAGCAATCGTTGATGAAGACGATGACATGCCTTGGTGGCCTTACTTATGGACGAGAAGTAAAGGAAAGTGGGCTCCCCAAGTGGACTTTAGGAATAGTTTTTCTGTACAATGTTTTCGAAGAAGTTGAGAAGTTTTGCAATAAAGCTTTTTCCAGTTCGGAGCAGAATGTTGAAATGAGAAACTCGCGGATTAAACGTGACAATGACGACGTAAACAAATTGACGGACTGGTTGTACCAACATTCACCTTTTACAGACGTATTCTAGACGTCATGTCAATAAGCACTAGAATGATAGGAGATGAAGAAATAAACTGTCATATGTCTCATGAAATTGGTACTGCTAGCATTTTTAAGATTATTGGCGCCGATTTCAATACAGTAAAATTCAAAAGAAATGACAGAGTAAAAGCACTGCTAGCATTTTAAAGATCATTGGCGCCGATTTCAATACAGTAAAATTCAAAAGAAATGACAGAGTAAAAGCACTTGCTGTAATTAATGCAGGTATTCGGATGAAAGATGTCATTGTCCCGATTAATCCACTATTAATTTTCCAAAGTATGTACATTGCAAAAACATCTGAAAGAAAACTTGAACAATTTCTATCATACAAACATGCACCTTTTCCTTTTTCTCTCTTCAATGAGGAAGGTATGCGCAAATGCGCTAAATCTTCTATGTATAAGGCATAAAGTTTCTGAAGACATAAATTATGGAGACACGATATATGTCATCGATGGTGGATACCTATTGCTCCGAGTTATTTGGTATCGCGGTGATTCGTTTTCATCCATCTGCAATAACTTTTAATAACGTTTGATGAAATTACACATCCATTGCCTTTCTTGTATTTGACGAAAATACGGAAGATGTAACA